ATGGAAGCAGGATTGATCCCTTCAGCCTAGAGCCATTCATCTGCATTTGCAAAAGTTTACAAAGGTATTGCGTAGGGGGTTTTTCATTAACACACCTTCAGATCAAATCTCTATATATTCTATCAGAAAGGTCATAACCCACATCTCCAAACGAACCAGAAGGTCGATTAAGTGTTGTTACGTTTCAACAGAGATGATTAAAAACTCTTTTGGACTTGCATGGATTTCCAAACGGTGGCTTGAAGTTAAAAAATGTAGAGAGAAAACTATGTTCCAGGATAAAATCCAAAGTGGGCTTAAAAGCTGGAGTCAGTCACTGAGCTGTATATTGGTTTGAGGGAACTTCATGTAATTGTCACTGCCAGTAGAGCCTGCCCCTAACAATCCCGTACCGAGAATATCCCTGATTAACTTCATTGTCTAACTGAACTCTCCTCCTAAGGCACAAGATTGGATTTTGGCAGCAAACCATCTTTATCTGCTGCCTAAGTGGTTTTCACTAAGTCTACCCGAACAGAAAATGTGTGTGTCCAGAGAGTCAGGGCCAATCCCAACTGGGCCGTGAGGCCACTGGTGAGTACAGGCCAGGGGTCTGAAGTTACAATTTGGCTCTGCTGTCGCTACGCTTGAGGGGTGAGATGGCTTCCTACTACTGGGCTTAGGAAAGAACCTGGCACAGTATCGGATCATCTCTAGCTTTAAGAACAAAGCACGCAATTGAATCAGATCTCCTCTAAAAGGCAGCTGTTGACAGAACAGGAAAGCTGTTCTTCCGTCTCGGTCGCCTTTTGGCTTTGAATATTAGTTTATTGAGAGGATGAAGGCCAACCACCAGTAGCCTTCCTCTTTAGGTCCTTCAACTCTTACCTGGATGAGAGTCTGCCTTTCTGCCTTGGGGAGATTTACGGCTTGGTGTTCTGCTTCCTCCCATTCCTTTTTCACCTGGACAAGAAAAGGACAGAACACATCAACAAGACACAAATTTACATTTGATCTCTGTGAGCTAATTCGCCTTCACAGGTTGATCCTTGTACAGCCTGGCTAGGTTTTGAAGGCACAATAGAGCTGCTGTGGGGTTTAAACCTAGCACTTAAGTCCTCTGAGCAGCAAGCCAAGTGTCCCCAGTGATTCCGCCCTCCCAACACTCCGAAGAAATGAAAATCTAACTACCGCAACATGGTCAGATTGCAAGAAACATACAGAAGGCTGGTGACTGGAAAGGAAGTCAGTTCACCATCAATTTGTCCAGAAAAACACAGCAGCAACTACGCAGCTGAAAGCCTATAAGACACAAGGCTGAAGCTAGACGCTCACCCGGTCCATGCGGTTGTGGTGTCTGACCTCCAGCTGCTCCTTTGCCTTCTGGAAGCGGGCATGTTCGTTGTCATCAGCTGGGGTTTCAAAGTAGACATCCACATCATCAGTTGGCACTGCAAAGAGAGGGTAAGGATAAGCAGAGGTTCAGAAAACTGTGATCCTGGATTGCAAAGGACAGGTAGGGAGAAGAATCTCCATGCCTGCATAATTAGCAATCTGGCAGGCTGAGTTTACTGAACCGCCACCTACCAGGCGTCCATTTTGGTATCTTTAGGCTGCCAATTTAGTGCACAACATCAGTTAGTTACATCATCCCCAAAACACAGTAATGCACTGCGGCAACCAGCACCTGTTCGGTCTTCCCATTAGCTCTGAGACGAGCACTATTCAGCTCCAGCAACAGAATGACTTGGATTGCAGAATAAAGAACTTGTTTTCTCTTCCCTTTCACATTGGCTTTGGATAGTTTAAATGGCATTTTGTGCATTAGCTGTGTGCTGACAAGCTGGCTCCAGACATCATTAATATGATTAGGGAGCTTGACAATAGATCTGCACAAAACACTACCCAATATTTTACACTTCAATCCTACCTTCCCTACCAGATGCACCATGCAGGACTAACAGGGAATGGTATCAGACAAGACAGCAACAGAAGGAGACTCAGTGTGACAAACTGACTTGTCCAATAAACTGGATAGTTTGTATCTTTAAGACATTCAAATCTGACATGGGGAGAAATAAAATTTCAGAGCTGACCATTCCAAGCATCTGCAAAATCCACAGCGGGGGTTCTGTACTTGATATACCGCAGTGCAGGAAACACTGAACAAAGTTTCTGTGCTACACTTTCAGAAACTACACGTCCCAGAGCCCTTTCTGAAGGGATCTACAGCAAACACGATGCACCCGGTTGTTGTCCTTCAGCAGAGGGAGGGCAGAAAGGGTAATTTTAGTAATCTGGGTGGGGAAAAAACCTCCAACACGTCCTCGAAAGACAGCATGCTTCAGAAAAAAAATTTACCTTGCAGTTTAGCATGCACCTGCACCCCCAAACCTTTAACTAGGGAGGGAGGAGCAAAGAAGGGAGAAGAATCGTTGCGTGCGAGGGACAACGTCAGACCAGTACCGTATTCTGGGTCTGCTCATGGCATTTCTGAACTAAGCTTGGACACAGAGGACCCTCTTTCCAGCCCCAAATCCCTCTGTAACAGGACAAACTTTTGTACAAAAAGCTCCTGACATCCGCATCTTTTATTTCACCACTTCAGTTAGATCAACCCAATCTAAAGCACTTGCATGAAGCCCATTTTGTAAATAGGATTATGGCTGTATAGTCAGACTGCCAAGCCCCAGATAACACAAAAAGCCTTTCAAAAGGCTTTAATGGCAGCTGAAGTGGAAGTGCTGGAGTTCAACAATAAGATTAATAAGGAGGTTAAAATGTTTTTGGTAGTTTTATCATCTGACATAAAAGCCAGTTGAAATTGGTGCCAAAAACCTCAAGCTCTCAAAAATGCACGGATTGAGTCGTGACTCATATTTCAAACCGAGCTGAAGTGGGAATCTGAATCCTATACTACTTCTCTGATATTTTCCCAAAATACAATAACAAGAAAACGCCTGCTGCCAGGAGAATGGTGAGTAGCAGCCTGCTTTTCAGGACCGACCAGTCAACCACATGCACAGGAACACGACCGGGGAAAGCAAGTGCTTCCTTCCATGTTTTTGGAAAAAAAGCTGGTTACGCAAACAGGCAAGCTATGTGTTTTCACAAGAGGTTAAGAGACAGCCCCTGGTCCCTGCTATAGACCTGGAAGATGACAACTAAGCCCTTAGCAAGAGCTGCGAGCCAACGGTGAGCACAGACAGCATATGTCAAGAGCCACTTTCCCCAGGAAAATTCACCCTGAAGACCTAGAGAAGCGGAAACAAGAGGAGACTTCTGCAAAAGGACAGACAGCACTGCTGCAGACACCAGAACCAGAAGGATGAGCTACACACGTATCCTCTCTTGACCTAGGCAAGGAGGAGGAGACACCAAACGCCAGACAGACAGAGGCTAGCTGCAAAAGGGCCAGTGGGAGGCAGGACTTACTCATCTTTTTACACACAGCCATACAATACTCCTCTGACTCAAAATTGTTCCTGTTGCCTCCGCAGCCTCCATATATAAAGCGAATGCATTTTCTCTTGTTAGGGTCGAAGTACCAACGAGGCATCACAGCCCGGCAGGGCCCTGTCATCGCCTCCTGGGAGCAGACAGCTGTGTGGAGACGGGTTAGAACATGAGCTAGTGAGGAGCACAGGCCTTGCCGAGCGACTGAGACAAAGCAGCGGTGGCTCTAGCTCACACCTTCTTCTGGGGCACCAGCGCTGAACCCAGCATCGCTACTTCACCCACCAAAGACCTTTTTGTCAGTTTTGGGGGGTGGGGTGGGTGGGGGATTTTTAACATTGCAAAAGCATCCATCACAAAGCTTGCCATGGTGCTTTGGAGTGAACGCGCAGCAGTGGGCTACCCGAGCAGTTGTCTTGACATGGAGTTCTCATCTGCTAGAGCGATTTCTCCTTAGCTAGAGACTGAAACAGCAAGGATCTATTTTGCTGATGCCACAGCGTTACGCCTCGGGTGTCCCAGTGGTAGAGCCTCCACTGTATGAAACCAGCATGATGGAAAGAAAACCCATTAGGGCTGCTTAAAGCATTCAGTGATGTCCTATTCTGCTGCACTCTGCCTGGACAGACATTTCACATCTCAAAGGTGAGGTGTGAGAGCAAGTGAAAAGGCAGGCTAAGCAAAAGGAACGTGAGCGCCATGGCAATCCCAGCCGCTAGGCTTTTTTAAAGTTTTGAAACTTCTATTCACTAAATATTGAAACTCCAGGTAGCCATGGCATGCGGACTGCTTCGCAATAAGCGGGCAATATAAGCAGCTGGGTTATTTTGAGGCAAGAAAAAAGATATGGTGTGTAAGTTGGAAACTGTTCACGGTACTTCGAAGAAAAAAGACTGCATACCCCCAAAACAGACACCCCAATCATACTGTTCCAATTCTGTTCCAACACCTGCAGATCTCTAACAGTCCTGTACATATATGAGCTAAGCCTTGTTTCAGCACGTAAAATTATCTGCAGCATGCTGGCATTTTACCAAAAAGATGCAAGAACTGCTGGCAATGATTCAGTGATCTGTAGCTAATTGAATTTCATTCCCTCTCCCCCCTCCTCCTTCCTCTGCAGACACTTCTACACGTGAAGTATAGGACATCGTATAACGCTGAGGCACCACACAATCAGCAGATGCCCTCTGCAATGGCACCCACCACTTAATAAAAGCTACCGCAAGTCTAGTATATGTTACTACTGCAGTAAGTATATATTACTCATATAGTAAAATTGGGCCAATTGTGTGGGCTGACTTTCTTTCACAAAAGAGAAAGGTTCATGTAAAGACACCAAATATCTTCCTCAACCTTAAATGGCCAGATGGCACCTTTATGTAACCTCTGCAGAGTATCGGCCCACCACTTTTGGCTTCCTTTTCGTAAACTGGTATAAAACACCAAATCCAAGATAATCACCCCAAACTAAGATTTTAAATTCACAGTGTACCCCAAATGCCTCTTTAAGATTTTCCAAAATTAGCCTGTGCAAGATATGGTTTTCTGACTCAACACTGCACCTTGACGGAGGTGCTTGTTCAGTGTGCCACACACTGGGCTTTCTGCCAGCAGAACTGCTGTTTATCTGGAAACATATGGCCCATGCTCTAGAGAGTTAATTTCAACACTTGAAACATAAGCATCATCAGCTTGCCTCTGTTTGCTAACTTATCTGGCAAATAAAACTTCCGAGTGGCATTTATTGACTTGATCAAAAACCCATCACCAACTGACAGCCAACAAGAACACTGGCAAGGAAGAAAGAGGCCTGTAGGCTCCAACGTGTCTTACACTTCATATCGCTGCTGACTTCTTTTTCGGAAACAGCCTTGTCGTTGCTAGGCTCTGTGGGGTTTTCTTCATTGTAATCGTCAACTTTGTAGCTATCGTAATAGTAATCGCGGTCTTCCACCACGTCCTCCTCCTCTTCCCCTTCATCTTCTTCATCCTCATCTTCCTCCACAGCTGTTCCTGTGAAGTCTTCTACACCTGCCTCTGTAGGGAACTCACTGAAGGGATACAGTTAAGTTAGGGGGTAAATTTAAGGCCAACCCCTTTGCAGCCAGCCTTTGATGTACCAAAATAACGACTCTCTTTTCATCTGTTCTAGAAACACGAGAGATGGGAAAAATAAATGTACCAGCTATTGATCAGCCCATCCACGGCAGCAACGGGACTTCCCTCGTGACAGACAAACCTGCTATTACAGGCAGAGCTTCTCCATGCCTCTGGCTTAGTGGAGTTCTCTTGCATTTTCTCATCAGCTTCTTTTCAGTGAGTGAAAGTCTGTATTTGGGGGAGGTACCTACTGTAGCAATCAGTCTTTCTGACTGTCTAAGGACAAAGGGAAGAGGGCTGTTTCACTCCCCCAGTAACAGGGGCACTGCAAAGACGTTTGTCCTTCTGCAAGGCCTTTTCAGGCTCAGGACACTCCTTTGGGAAATTCAAAAGCACAGAAAGCCTCCTCTCAATCCTCACCACAAGGGAACCACTGTGTGAAATATTTGCAGACAGCGACTCTACATACAGAGCTGTTAACACCTATGGCAGTACGAACCCTACCTTTTGTAAACGTCATAGTCTTCATCCTCGTCTTCATCCTCCTCCTCTTTGGACAGAGCCTCATCCACAACCTTTGTCTGAGGACAACATACGTATTCTGTTCCATGGAACTGGTCCACTCCACAGGGCAGCAGCATGCCATAACTGTGCAGGATCATCCCTTCTGTCAGACAGGCCTGGAAGAGGAGCCCATTTACGTCAGTTTAGCATCATGCTCTCGCTTTGGATAAAGCAAAAGTTTGCTTATCCTAGATCCCAAGAATGCTTCCAATGGTCTAAATTTTACAGCAAAAACCCGACAGCAACATACGACCTAAGTCTGAACATCAAAGGGAAATGGATTTCAAACCTGTAGCTTAAGCAAAATCCCCAGAAAAGTCCCAGATTCAGAGCCAGGCAGCGCTTCCTGGTGTTAACATACCAAACACCACCCGGCCCCTAACAACTGCTGATTTGTCTGCCTGGCTAAGTTCAGGAAAAATAACTAGACCTTTTGCACCAACTCAAAGGAGAGAGTACTTGAAAGAAACAGCACTGTTTGCTTTTCTGGGCTGGCCATTTCATTAAACTTGAGCTCTTAAACTTTTCATCGGAGTAAGTGAATATAATCGCTCAAATGGACTCCGCGTCAAGATTATTTTAACATGCTGCAGATGAAAATCAATCAGATAATTCAAGAAAAAGCCAAATGCAAATTGTGATTAGACATTGTGCCTATACACTTCTCTTCAGCTAAGGAAATAGATGGCTTTGTGGTGCCTCAGAAAAGAAGGAAGTAAGAACAGCTTCATTCTGTACATCAGAACCCTTTTGTGCTTTGCTTTATTACAGCAAAGATGTAAAATGTGCCAAGTATTTCCGGAAAAGTTCTCCAACTATGTTGAAAGCAAGTGATTTTTAAATTTGCTAGACATTAACAGGTTTATCCTCAATTAAACCATGATTCCTCTAGCACAGCTTTATTTAGATGGGTTTTTGCTCCTGGGATTTGAAAGGAATAGGAAGTTTAACTGGTGCATCCTCAACCTCATCTTTACTTGTACCATCACAACTAATCATTGTGTTGCCGTTTCTACAATTGCTGTTTCTACAAAATGGAAAACATGTACATTTTGGATGATCTTGTTTTTATTACCCCCAGATCAAATGGGCGTGCAGAGAATTTGCAACATTTTTGCTAGTCAGATAAAAAAAAAAACAAAAAAAAAAAAACACACAACCCACAAAAACCCCCATGGGCTAGATTTATTCTGAGAAGATAATCCATCTCTTATGTAAAACCTCCACTAATCAGTCACAACGAAACTCAGCTTGTCCCCAGGCAAGCACTCCCAACCAAATCCCCAGCAGCAGCAGGTACATTAATGCAAAATGTGCAAGAAAAAATGGAAACATCCTATGACCACTGTAGCTCTACCCTGGCAAGAAGGATGAGCCATTGGTTAAGCAATATCCTAGAGACCTGATTTCAATGCCTAGCTCCATCCTTGAGTATGACCTCGGGCAAGCTACTTAGGACAGTTTTTGATGAGTGAAGAATAACACAGCTAGCTTCACAGGTTTTTTAAGCTAATTGAGTACTTTTAATTTATTTTTTTCATTGCTCTCTGCCTCAGCCCATAGCCTGCAACATGGGAATAAGAGACCCTAAAGACAAACGCTGCTGTGCTCCAATACTACAAGCATCCAAATGGACAGATCCAGAATTAAATATTCCTGCCACAGCAGCTCAGTTACCTCTTTTGCCACGGTGTGCCAGTGCTGATGGCTTTCACACACGTCGATCCGCTCCTTGTGGAAGAATCGGCACTTCTCTGGAACCAGCAGGACATCGCTTACAAACTCACCCACTGAAAAAGAAGAAACATCCATAGTTCACACATGTCCAACTTCCAACAGAAAACAAAGCCAGTATCAGAACTCCCCCAAAGTACCCTTCGATGCAAGTGCCTTAAAGGTTTGGGATATTCTTAACGGGGACAGGTCATTCAGATCAGCAGCTATCTCTGCAAATTTACAGAAAAACACCCTCGGAGCTTTCAAGGTAAAAACAGGAGTAGGGGCCAATTGCTGAAAAATTATGGGAACCCTAAGGCTGAAGGGAAGGCAAAGTTTACAATGCCTGTTAATAAATGGTTGTTCATTGAACAGACAGGACTGACGGAAGAGATTTCATGCAAATCTCTAAAAAGATTGCATCTGCATACAGAAGTTTTCAAGCCACTTAATCACCAATTTCTGAAGGAGCTGCATCACACCAAAGCTCGTTCATGCTGTCCGGTGCTGTAACGGCCTGGAAATTTTTTTAAGCCATGAGTGTTATCTGTGTTTTCAGCATCAGGGTATGTGAGCAAGTCTGGTTTGCTTTTGTTTTGCTTTGTTTCTAGATGGTTTAATTTCAGGATCAACTGCAGCACATTCCCCGACTCGGACAGTCCTAAGCAAAACACAGAGAGCTGGAAAAATAAAAACTATACAGCCCAAAAAACAGAGTACAACCAGAGTCATCAAATACGCTGCGTTCCAACATTAGATAACCACAACCTCACCAGCATGATGAAATTTTGGCACTATCTTAAAACCAGACTTTTGCTTTTGAGGAAGGCGGGGCGGGGGGGCGAGAGAGAGAGGATCAGTTTGCTCTACAGACTCTGTGTGTTCATTGGACTTAGAAGCTAGTTAGCCTAAATTTCCAGCACTACTTAGTCTGGTACCAACACATGTGAAATAAGGATCAGAACTATATAAGCATCAGTTTCTGTTCTTAGCCCAGAAGTCTTAACAAACACAGCCACTGGCATCCAAAATGTGACATTTTCTCAAAAGTTGAGATTTTTCTTTCTTTCTTGCAGACTTAATTGCCACATCCAGCAATTTTAAAATAAGGAGATATCGAGATACTCTGAGAAGGCCAGGAAAAGATCTTCAGTCCAAGTGTTTCAAAGCAACATCGCACCCATGACTGGCAGCTTTAGGAATCATTTGTTAAAATGGGAAGAAAGGTTTTTAAGTCAAAGGCCTTTTCTCACGGAGTCTCCAGGGAGTAGAATTATCTGTCCAACCAATCTTCAACATTATCTTTTCAAAATAAATTTTAGTATTTTGCCTGACCAATTTTTTTGCAGCCCCTTAGTGCTGATACCAAAGGCTCATGGACACTTCTCCTACGCACTATACACAAGTCAAGCAGAGTTTAGGGAGAGATTACCTGATGACAATTGCAAGGTAACAAAACCAACTAGCATTCATGATCCCTTTCAAATTAGATTTTGAGCTAGTAGATACAACAGAGAAATGGTATTTTCCCTGTTTTCTTCTCTCAAAAGAGGCCAGTTACAATCTTGAGTTATTAATCCTTCTTCCTTCCCTCTCACGAGAGGTTAGTTAAAAAGCTTCTGATAAGAAAGCTAAAACTGACCAAACTTTAAAATCAAGGGACTGAGGTTCTGGGGACTGAAGGCAGAAGACTCAAACTGATCAGATACAATAACCAATAATAAACAGCAGCCATTAAACAGCTATTTTGAAAAACACTGAATCTTAGCACCTTTGCTTAAAAGACATGGAAGGTTCTCTCAATTCACCTAGGAACTGGAAAACCCTAGCACGCTGCGCCCCGTTAATGGGCACCCTCCCCATTCATGGCCACTGCTGTCAAGAAAGAAAAATCCTCTCCCTTATCAGATCAGAGGGGGCATAAGAGGCATTTCCATGCCACCTAGCAGCTCAGCCAGAACTGTCAGCACTTTGTCTTTTCACACCTCACCAGGCTCAGCCCTGCTCCCATCATCCTATTGTTACCTTTATTTTACAGTTCAGTGAGAGTGCTAATGGGTTCTCCTCTTCTCCCCTCTTCACCTTTGAAATACAAAAAAAGCTCTCACTGATGGGGGGAGGCAGGGGAAGGTTAAACATGGTACCATAGCAAGGTCCTACCTCAAGATAGCCTGTGTGTTAGTTGAGCAAGGAAGATGCGAGCAGGAATTGGAACAAAGAAACAGAGTTCGGCTACGATCAAAAAGTCATACGCACCCCAGAGAAATAGGTCATCCATTTACAACAAGCAACCTGTGGACTGCTAAAGACAACGAAAAGGTGTTTTATACACAAATGGACTACTTGCAACTCAGATCTGAGAACCACAGCTGCCTTGCAGGCTGGGCGGAACACGTCAAGAACACTGTGAAAGACTCTAATTAAAAACTTTAGCAAATAGTTCAATGCTTATCAGATTTTAGGGCAGTGTCACTAAAATCAGCTTAGTTTTCAGCTGGAGAGTAGGCTTGGGGGAGGATTACTTCTAAAAGAGATGACTCCTTTTAAATCCAGAGATCTTGCTTTCATCTTTATTTCCGTAAGAAGTTCTCAGTATAATCAGCTGGGTTTGGTTGCTTCTCAAACCTGAATTTCCACATCTATAGAGATGCATCTTTCTCCCAGGATGTATCCACACCAAATTTCATTCCTTAGGAAGTGCTTTATGATCATCTAGGGGAGGGTATAACAAATAGGAGAACAGTACCTACACAGTTCTGCAGATTTGCTTGTGTTCTCCTATGTCAAACCACACGCTAACCTGAGATACAAATTATGAAAACCGGTTCCCCGCTGAATGCTCCCAGCAATCAGACTCTCCAAGATTGCACAAGACTTCTTGCAGAACAAGTCTTTTCCAGTGGATAGCTGAAAAGAGATTCAGCCAGCTGAGACTAAGCTTACTACTAAGAACACACGCAGTGCAGTCCACTGTCAGGCACAACCTACAGGTCAAAAGCCGCAAGGTAAACAAGCTGAACGTGTTGCCCGATTCAAGCGAGTGGATAGATTCTGGAAAGCACCATGAAACCCATCAGTTTCTCTCATATTCTTTCACAGTTCAAAGTGGGGACATGGGATACAGCTGCAAGAAGCAGGGCCTCTTTGAAACAGCATAGTTTAAATATAGTCATTGAAACAGAATGGAGATCTCTTGCCAAGACCAAAGCAGGAAGCCTGAACACACCGAGCATTTAAGTCTCCAAGGCAACAAAATATTAAAGCTCCACAAAAATAGGATCAGAGTATTAAATCCCAATGTCTTTGTAATACTCAAATACAATAGCCTTCAGGTTTTTATGGCAGTTGCAGAGAGAATGGGAATTTCTTTTTCACGCCAGGCACATTATTCCACCACAGCTGTTATCAAGCTGTCGATCTGTTCAAGAAAGGCAGAGTTCCATCTTGTGGAAATAAAAATGTTTAAGTGGAAGCTGCATGGGGAAATGGCAACCTGACATGAGAGAAGCCTTATAAACTCAGCCATTCTCTCTGTAAGACGCCAGGAGGCAATGCCTTGCTCCTCCCACAAGAATGCACAAGCACATAGCACGCACTCACCCAGGCACTTGTAGGGCACGACAATATGAGTGTGGTCCTTGCACTGTTTCTTCCCTCTCTTGCACCAGCTGTCGATGCTGACAGGTTGATTGGCTTCCACCACGTTCGTGATCTGAAGGTCTGGATACATCTGTTTAATGAGACACAGAGATAGGTTTCTCTCCAGAAAGGACAAAGACTGTGCAAAGTGGCCCCCAACCAGAAGTAGCGAGGCTGACTCCCTACACAAAAACACAAGTTCAAATTTGTACACGAACACACATTCTCTTCCGGAGCAAGCTTACAACAGCTAAAGACATAAAAAAATCCTCCAGCTCTTTGTCACACAGGGCTGGAGAAATGGAATGCATCATCACTTCTTTGCGGCAGGAGAAAGCCAGGTCAGGGGCAAAAGTCTTCATCGGCATTAAGCTGAGGTGTTTGGCTTTGCATGGTAGTGGAGGAGAAGTATTTATCTGTGCTATTCTGCCTGGTGCAGCACGATACCCTCTAGAAGAGGGCAATCACCAACAAATAGGGTTTAGTCACATCTTCAGACTCTCTCGGCACTTATCAAGCTAATATGCACCTACCTCCTCGGGCTTCCTTATGCCTGCTCCATTTGTGATGTATTAATATGATCCCTATGTCCTGCTCGAGTTCTAAAGTCCAGATGCTGACTTATATTTAGGCTGCCGCTACGTGAACCAAATGTAGCCCCAGTTATATCAGCCAGTAAAACAGTTCTAAACATTTTCCAGTCCAGACATGGTGTGCTCTATCACCTTCCCATTTAAAAAAAAAAAAAAAAAAAAAATATTCCTTGTGGTATTTTACGTGCCTGTCACCTCAGAGGAGCAATTAAAGACACTTATCAAGGGCAATACGCTGCAGTGTATCTGCAGCACACTGAAAGGAGACTATGTTTTTTTACAGTGAAGCATGAGGAGTCTAAAAATACTGCCAACATTTGGATGAAAATATTTTTCTAATATTCTGGCTGATCTCAACACATCACCAAGAAAACACGGCCACATTCTATTAAGAATAGGTGCAGGTTCCATTTTGCACAGACACGGAGCAGGTGCTGGTTAACCATCTCAGAGGCAGAACATTTGAAGAAACCCCTGCAAAGACAGACACAGATACCTCGCTGACTTAGGGACCAAGGACCTCCTGTGGCAGTTTAAGCTGATCTAAATCAGAGGTAGCTCCTAAATCCCACTGCAGCGTCCTCTCTGCTCCTGCTGGGCAGTAGCACAGCAGGACAGTTCAGGGGACTGAGCGAGTCAAACGCAAGCCTCCTGCAGGGCTAATTTGCTACTGACTGGCTAAATTGGAATCCAATTCCTTAGCAGCGGTGAAGATTGAGGATCACACAGAAAAACTCACCTCCTGGCAGTACTGCAGGATCTCCTCCTTTCTTCCAAAGCAGCTCTTGGTCCCAGAAGTGTCAGGTTCCCATTTCCCAGTCTGGATATTCACATGCATATTTAGCTTTCCACAGAACATGGCAATTTGAGGCTCTGCCACCGCAAACCCTGTCCCAGCATTGGCGGCCAGCGCCTGTGAAGACAAACAAAACCAAAACATGTTGATTGCTTTATCTGATCAAAAGTAGAACAGCTCAAAGAACCAGAAACCCTCTGGCATCTCCTCAGAGAGCTCCCGCTTAATCCAGGTAGCAGTGGAGTCTTGCAAACATATTTCGTAACCGTATTCCTTAAAGCTGGTGAGCCCACACCAAATTTTCGCCAGCAAGGTGTTTGTTTTTCCAAACTCTCTCTTTATTATTGCAACTAACAGCTTACCAAAACCAAAAACAAGAGTAATTCACACTTAAAGGTTGCACCCACAAAGGCTAAAGGAGACATCTGAAAAACTTAAAACTGATAAATAACTGAACTAATTGAATAAATGAACTGAAGATTAATAACTAATACTAATAACTGCCAAGTTATTAGTATTAGTTATTAGTATTAACCTCTGCGAGGTTACACACAAAGTGGGTATTGCTACTACCAGTGAAAGAACTACTTCCAACCGCATGAAGCCTGCTCAGAGTTTGAAGCCATGTCTTTCTCCCAAAATCTTCACATATTTGGGACAGAAACACCTAAGCTTCTTGCCCAAACAGACAAGTAAAGAGGACTTCTGCTGAATCAGGAAAACATAGCTGTTTCAAGCGCCTCCTGAAAGCCTGTTGTCTCCCGTTCACTGCACTCCTATGGGTATTTGCACTGCCTGGTTTCTGCTGCGTATTCTGTGCACCTCCCACCCCGCACCAGCAGACAAAAACCTGACAACCCAGACCCACATTCGGGTCAAACTGCAGACTGATCAATGAAAACAAGGTCAGGTTCCCTTTCTGAAATCTTGCTGGCTGACCAAAAGAAGAAAAAGGGGATTAAATTAAATTGCAGAGTTGGGGTTTTTCTGAAAAGACTGAGTGGATGCCGGGAGCTGAACATCCTCTCCCTACGTAACTACTAGCTGTAGTAAAAGGAAAAAAAGGAAAGGAAAGCAGAGGTATAAGGCAAAAAACCCAGATGAACTCCTAAATCGAAAGCTCTTTAAGGTGTTTAGGGGAATGAAATCCATTTCAACTACTTCAGACGAGGCAGATCAGAAACAGCGATACACGGAGGCTGCAGGGCACCACTGCCCCTAAGCTCCTTTCTTCCCGGCAGGCAGCACTACCCTGGGCCACCAGTCCCGCCTTCACATTTAACTTTTCATGCACTCAAAAATGCATACATTATCGTGGGCACTGTTCATTCCCTATTGCCTGCAGATCCCCATCAACTCATATCGATACATGGATGCTTAAAACCATTAAAGGAGCAAAAAGAAGAATTCAACTGGACAAACCCCCTGCGTGCTCCTAGTTGCTGGATAGTAGGAAAAAATTAACTCCATTATAATTAGCTCATTTCTCCCCCTCCCTGTTTACACACAAAATCACCGCCTGGAGATAAGACGTTTCACCACTCAGGGAGTCAAGGATTGTTCAGGGCTGAACACATGGCTAGTGCTCGGGGGATAAGACCAACCCAAGACACAAAAGCATAAATCCACACCTTAACTTCAAAAAAATTACCCCTTGGGTTTTAAGAACCATCCAGCTGCGCATCACTTAAGAGAAACAGTCTTACACAAGCAGCTTCTATTTACTCCAACGCTTTCACCCAACAGACGCTCACAAGAGCAAGTTTTAGCACAGATGACATCAAACACCAAACTACACATAACAGATACCGGCATCGATGTCCAGTAACAAAGCGCTTCCAACTTCCAATGTACTTTCAAGTTCTGTGTAGGTGCGTTTGTCGTACTCCCTGTCCTAACGGGGAGAAGACGGTTGCATGCTTCAGGTATAGGAGGACTTCTGATGAATACCCCAAGGCTGGTGAGAGGGTGCAATAATTTCCTTCTTTCATAGAATGTTTTGGGTGGGAAGGGACCCCTAGAGGTCACCCAGCCCAACCCCCCTGCAGGAGCAGGGACACCTTGAACCACATCAGGTTGCTCACAGCCCCATCCAACCTGGCCTGGAATGTTCCCAGAGATGGGGCCTCCACCCCCTCTCTGGGCAACCCCTGCCAGGGTTTCACCACCCTCACTGGAAAGAATTTCTTGAATCAAACCATTTGATAAGCGTGTGCTTCTAACAAGCGCTGACCGATACCACTCAGCAAAACCTAGGCTCTTGCACTGCGTTCCTCCCCGTCGTACCGTTTCAGAAGAAAAAAAAGCAGAGGTGGAATGATCCTTCGTAACCCTATAAACGCACACATGCAAACTGTGTAAGAGGGCCTTTTTATCTCACTCCAAACAAACACCGCTTTGGTACCAAACCGCTTTCCAGAGAGCACAAGAATTGACATGTTAAAGGAAACAATCCACAACACAGTTTTGTTTCATGACAACACCACAACTACATCCAAGATTGAAGCTGAATGCTGACAAGAACAAAAAGAACTGCAAACTCAAATAGGCGCAAAACATTAACCCTTCTAAGAAGGATACAGCGCATCAGAAGAGATTAAAACGTGCCCGTTATGAACGGTTTGGAGATGATTAGCACCGCCTCGTGCTCAAAATCTGTTTTCTTCAAAGCAAACTTAACAAGTATGCAGCAAAATAAGGTAACCGCATAGGCAGGAGAGGTGCAGGCTCCATCCCGAGAGGCAGCACCATCCATCAGTAATCCATTCATAACAGCTCTTGCGTGAGCACCACTCCTGTTCAAACACATACCAACCTCCTGAAGTCACGAGCACCCCCTGTTTACACACCGATGCGAGCTGGTGTTTATTTTTGCCGTCTCTCCGGCCTGACACCTCGGCACTCTGGCAAAGGTATCATTCCTCCTCCGTGGATTGCTCAAATAGTTTGCATATCAGTAGAGTGCTGTTGCCGTAGCTACCAGAACATGCTAAGCCCCAATTCACAGCTGAACAAACGAGACTAATTACTTGCTTGATTTCATCACTTTTAATCAAATGGAAGAAATCTTTTCTTGAATTGCACTGTTGAGTAAGTTAATGAACTTTGATACACACAAGTTGAATCTTTAACCCCCTGACCTGCAAGATAAGGTTTTTGAGTAATGGGCTTCAATTTTTCACCGCTGGCAATCCACTCCAGCCGCCAAACACATCAGTTATTTAATTTAGCATTTTTTATCTCATTCTACCTGCAGTGAGAAAACACAACACAGCAAATTTCATCCGTTAACAGTGGAGGCCGCACCTTTAACACTGCTACTGAAGTAGTGAAGAAAGTCACCTACAAGAGGTTTTGGGGACAAAAATCAGTTTCTGCCGCTCCCCACAATTGCCTTCGGCATACCAGAAATAGAAGCAGATCGCTGCGGCCGACGATGCCCGAGGTCAGCAAGTCTGCATTCAAGCATCACTTTGCAAAAGGAGGGCTGGGGAACATGTAAGCCAGCACGAAGCCTGGGATAAAGCCATGTCCTCAGTTAAGCTCTTCAGTACTTCAGAGAATTCACCCATTCCACATTGCAGAGGGATGAACAAACCGACAGCGCATTTTTCTTTGGGAATTTCCCAACCATAAATGGAAGCAGCTGCCTCTTTTAGTGCTGGGGAGCAACTATTCAATCTCTTAAATAAGCCGACTGACAGCTCGGGAGGGGCAACACACACAGAACGCAAGAGAGAGTTCATCCACTTGTGTACATCCTTGGCGAACATTATTTTAGTCGTTATTATCCTATTAATATATATCCATAACACCAAGATGAATGTTATTTGGGAAAAGACTGTTACATAAACCATTACCTTCCTCACTAGCACTTGCATTTACAAGATGTTTCATGATAAATTCCACTCTGCTTTTTGGTATAATTCTGTAATCCAGTTTGCTTTCCAAGACCAAAGAAGCATTTGATTCCATAAACACATAAATCTCTGGCCAGTTAATGTCAGTTAAATTCCTCACCCTGTCACGCAGTGCCTGATTTACAGTCCCGAAACACTGGAATTCAAACCTCTAAATCTTTTTCTTCTCTGATGGAAGTGTCTCTGCCCAAGTATCCAGTCTTTTATTTACTACCAGCCTTTTCAACTTGCGTTGGCGGGTTTGACGGGTGAGCTTTACCCATCCAGAGGCCTGGGCTCCACACTCTAAGAAAGGGTCATGCCTTTTCTTCCTGCAGGTATCTACCATCTCAATGGAGGGATGCAAGGCTAGAGAGATTATGGGCACAGCATGGCACAATGACAATCTTTAGGGAGGGTTTTTTGTGAATTTAAGTGGGTTTGGCTCTCTTGCACTCCTCTACTTCAGCGCTGGGAACAACAACATATAGGAATTCCTATCAGCTTATGTAAAGTAAGGAAGATTTGACATCTACCCCCGAAATCTATGCAATACACTGCAGTTCTGGTTCAAAAAGGGATAAAAATGAAAAAACCACGCTCATTTCCCTTGCCTTGTATTTCCAGGATCTGTTAAACCTCATCACAAGCTCGCTTATTGAGCATGCTGTCTATGCTGCTCCCTATCCACCGCTGTTCAGGAAAGCCTTCTGGCATGCTGCTGGGGACTTCAGGATAGAAGGGCGATTGGAGCACCTCTCTTCTGAAGAGTTGTTGCTCATTATATTTCATATAAATGAGTTCCTGAGAGCTTTCCTTTACAGCACAAAGGTATCTGCAAAACGTCAAATTTAACTACATTCTGAATTTTCCGTGAGTTTAAAACAGGAACCTCACTCATGTGGTCAAGGCAGCCAGAATATGAATCTTTATTCCAGCAAAACCAGGGTGGACGGGAGCTTCGCAGGAAATCTTAGATTCGCTTTTCATTTATGCTAAAATGCTGTTCTCATAGCATATTGCTCCTAAAGAGAATATAAGAATTTGCACGATAGAAAAATCACAGTCTCTGAGCTAACGTGTTTGGTGCAAACACATCAGCTACCAGGCACGCGTACTCCCTGTTGCACAAGCACAACGAGAGATCGCTGGCCCTGCTTTCAGGGCAGAAGGGCTGCAAGGCTTGAGAAATATCGAGAGCCTGGTAGGAAAAC